TAAAGATTATATAGTTTCCATAAAATTAGACTTTACTAAAATATGAATTTTTGACAATTTTATTTAACGATTTTTTGTTAAAAATATTATATTTTATTTCCATAAAAAATAATATTTATTTGATAAAGATTTTATACATGTTTATAATATTCACGTGTAACATATATATAAGATTTTATAGTTATGAGAAATATTCTATAATATGCGCTAATATATATGAATAAGATGTTTATACGCCAAAAGAATTTTTAATCATAAAAAAAATTAAACTAAAATAAATCAGGGACACATGTTAGCCATGGAGTTAGTGTACACTATTTTAATATAGTAGATAGATAGATATCTTATATAATGGTAGTAAACATTAATTAAGTTAAAAATCAAACATAATTTTTTTTTAATTATATTTTTAAGAAAATATAATTTATAATTACAAGATATATATGTAATTTCTTTATTGTATATTCAAGAAAATATATTTTCTTTTACGTGATATTCTTTATAAGATCAAATATCTATAGATTGAGAAGATTATTTCATGAATAAGATACTAAGACTATTTCGAATATAGCATGAGGGATAATCTTTTTGACGGTATATAATATAGCCTGAGCAATTTCGGATATATCATGAGCAATAAATCCAATAATCTCCTCAACATGATCCCACAAAAAAAATTTACTCCACATGACATTACTACTTAATCGGTTCTTCTAGGACTTATGACTTAATCTATTAATTTTTATTGATTCACTAATCTATATCAATAAAGTAATCACATGCAATTATTTAATTTTCCATGCAAAATCAATCCTTAATTTTCTAATGTGTTGTACCTATCTTATTCCAAGTAACTTTTTGATATACGAATGATAATTTTTTATGTAATAAGGACCATATCAACTAATCAGACAAGTTTATGATACTTAATATTGTAAAAATATTTATACCCAATATCATCGGCTATATATTATGTCTAAAAATGAAGAACAATTTATTATTTTAATAAAGTAAAATATCTTTACTAAAACGATAAATGAGTAAGAATATAATATGAACAAAATTATCTGCAGTAATAATAATACCGTAATAACATAAACTTCTATTATTAATGACAAATTCTATAAAGTGTTATATAACCCTCCCTAAAATCAAATACTTAACTAAAATATATAAAAATTTATAGTTATAAGGATTATTCTATAATATGCAATATATGAATAAGATATTCGACAAATATACACCGAGGAAAAAAAATATAATGCTAAACTAAAACAGAGACACGTGTCAACCATGGAGCTAGTGTACTCTATTTTAGTATAGCATATAGTTTAATAGATTAGATTCGTCACACTGTCTACTTTCATAATATAATTTTGTTATAATTTTACTAATCTATAACTATTAAAAGTGAGAACTTGGCAAGTTGAAAACTCCTTAGTAATAGTGTGGTGACCCTTTTGCCCCTCAAAATGTTCAAATACTATTTTGCCCTTATTTGCCTTTTGGTGATCTGTTTCCTTTGTTGTTTGCTTTTCCAGGATGCTTAGGTGGCGATATCTTGTCTGTTGATTACTTTGTGAGCTGGCTTGGTCTTCGTGGCAGCTGGAATGCACAGCTGTTGCTCTCGTGGTTCTTTTCATGCAAAGATTGCATTGCTTATGGTGTCCTGCATGTACATGGGAGTAGAAATGTATTAGGATTAGGAGTGTTTTAGGAATTGTGTAACATGGGATTATTCTACTTAAGTGTAAAGTTTTAACAGTTCCTTTCATGAAATTTGTTGTTGTACATTGTAATTATAAGATTAAATTTAGACTGGTTTGCTAAGTTTGTAATATTTTTATTTCTTTTAAGGATTGCTAAATCAAATGCTGATATTATGTTGTGTAACATGGGATTATTCTATTTAAGTGTAAAGTTTTAGCAATTCCTTTGATGAAATTTGTTGGTGTGCATTGTAATAATAGGATTAAATTTAGATTGGTTTGCTAAGTTTCTAATATTTTTATTTCTTTTAAGAATTGCTAAATCAAATGTGGTGATTGAGATACATATTTAGGTTATTTAGGGGATTGGCTAATGCAAATACTAATTTAAGGTTGCATTTGTGTTTGCAATTAGTGAACGCTTAGGAGGCTGCCTTTATTTACTAATTGTGTTGAGTTTATGTGGCTGAGTGTTCAGCTTAATTGAGGCTTAAAGTTATTGGTTGCTTTTATTTTGGACGGGGCTGCTATGCTCAGGGTGTGATCAGGCGTGCTAGCAGTTACCAATGCCTTTTGTATTCGTTTTAAGGTTTTGTGTGTTGAATTTGACATTTAAAGCATGGCGGTGTGAGTTGGGCGGCTTAATCTGCTGGAGTCAGCCTCAAACTCACTGGTTATTCCCTTTATCCACTGGTTTACTGGGTGCTCTGTGTTGGTAATGATAAAAATTGAGTATCCCTTTGATTTTTTTCCCCTGTTACATTACATACTTTAGCTTTAGCATTCTTTGTGAGGCTTTTCCTATTTTATTTACAAATAAAGCAAGTTTAAAGTCATTTATATATAACTGAATGTAGACCTTATTTAGCAAAATCGTCACAACGGATAGGAGGAAACATATATGGGGTTTATAAATAAGGTCTACATTCAGTGAGTGAGGGCAGGAAGAGAGAAAGCAAGGAGCATTGTAAAAGGTTGGAGCATACATTGAGGTCGAGGTATAAATTTAAGCTTAATTATTTTTTAAAAAAATTAGCTAAAACTTTATAATGAACAAGCTTTGCTATTTTGTGTTTGGGGTGTAAATATTAGCTTTATTTGGTTTCAAGTAAGGCTCCATGGTTAGCAAGATCTCTATTTTACAAGCTCATTGTCCATACTTGCATTGCTTCAGTTGGATTTCTTAGATGGACATGGCAATTGTGACTTCTGCTGGTTTGCTGTGCAAGTCCTGCTGCCTTTGTATGCTGGTCAAGTACTGCGGGTTTCTCTTCCTTTGCTGCTGGAGTAAGTTTCCTGACCTTTGGTAATTTTTGTTGTCCTGCTATACCCTCAATCAATGGTTGCATGGTTTGTTTCTGTTTGGGTTTGGTGGTCGATTTTGTGGAATGTTTTGTTATTTATAATGCTGTGTTTTGAGGATTCTATCTGTGAGTGATGATACTTTTTTTGTGTGTTTCTTTTTGACAGGTTCTATTAATTTGACAATCAGGAGAGAAGTGTTCTGTAAGTATCTTTGTAGTCTGTTTAGTATATGCAGCTTTGTTTGTGTAAAGTATGTTTTTGACATTTTTAGAATTTTTGGGTGTGGTGGAATATATATTGTGATTATTTGTGCAGTTTGTAGTTCATGTTGGGGATTTAAATGTTGTGACTTATGTAATATTATATGTTCTTTCATGAAATTTTTGGGTTTTGTGGTTTAGCTTTTTTTAATGCATGCCTATTGTTTATGCTTGTTGTGTTGTGGCCTGGTTTGCATTTCATGTTTTTCCTTTAAATGTAAGATTATATTCTCTTCATGAATATAGTGATATAGTGTTGTGATCTGGTGTGGAATTTGTGGTGCGATTGAGAAATTTCCTTAGAATCTGAGTCAATTTAGGCAAGCAATTTGGGCTTGTTTACTTGTAGGGCTACAACTTGGTTGCTTAGGTTTCTTAAATGTGATTGTTGTGGTAAGGATACATTTACAAGGCATGGGTTATGTGATCAGTTTTTAAGAGTTGCATTTGGTTAAGTTCAAGTTTCAGCATTACAGCCTTTGACCTAGGGAGGGATTTGTCTTTGCATTTCAGTTTAGCTTTGGTCAGGGAAACACTGGCAGCTCCAAACATGCCACAACCTGGTTCAGAAAACACTGGTAGGAAATGGATACGTGATTTTCTATACGGACAGGTGATGGCCAACCACCCTCGAAATGTATCCATTTCCTACCAGTGTTTGCTGAACCAGGTTGCATTGTGGCATGCTTGGAGCTGCCAGCTCCTCTGTACACTTTTTTTTGTAAATGGTGGAAATGCTGTTGAGCTGCACCTTGATATGGGTGACATGTTAGGGCCCTATGTGTACAATGGTGGTCCGGCTGATACCCTCAAATCCTCAATTAAAAAGGCATCTGAACAGGCTGTTAGGGGGTTAAGGGTTGAGTTTGGTGTCCAGGTTGATGACTTTTCGAGTGACAGAATTGGTAGGCTAGAACGCTGTGGGTTCTTGTATGAGATGAAACGCCTGGGGTTGGAATCTATTGAAAATCCTAATGGGAAGACACCTGTGAGGTGGCCTTCTGTTCCAAATCAGAAACGCGCTGCTAAGTACGTCTGCATTGATTACCTAGATGTTTTGCATACTTTGGCTGCTGAAATTGGAGCCAGTGTCTCATCAGTTGAAGCTCTGGAAATAGCTGACAAGAAGTGCATTGCTTGGCTTACAATATGCAATCCATACTCTTCTGCTGGTCTAGAGTGCATATACAGTTCACTGACTGGGAAATGCAAGACTGCTGTTCAAGATGCAGCAAAGAAAGGAGTACACTTTTTATGTTCAAGCTACAATTTGAAAATTGTGGATTTGAATCATGCAGATGTGATTTATGCTGGGATTAAGTGTGCTCTGGCAAAGGAGAGTTTTATGGCAGTTAAGGAGCGTGTCTTAGGTGTTCAGCAGCCATTGCATTTGCCTCCGTTTTTCACTGCAGCTGAGTGAAGCACTCCTAAATCTACTGCCCATCAATTAGAGTCTTCTGGCTGTCCCCCAGCTGCACCACGGAAGCCTAAAGCACGCCCCAACAAAGCTTCTCAGGCTACTCTTACTCCTGTTGCAGTCCCTGAAGACTTGGAGCTTGTGTTTAAGCGCAGGAAATTAGAATAGAATCTAGGGGGAAGGGTCTTTTGGGGGTTGTTTTGTGAACATGGCACATTCTTACAGACATAGCTAGATATGCTTGTTTTAGAAACTAGCTTATGTTTCTTGTTAGTGGTGATTAGCACTACTTATGTTTGTTATTCCTAAATGGCTGAAATTTGTGAGTGTGCCAGGACCCATTGGCCAGTTTATGTAAGCTTATGCTTTATGTGTTTCAATGATAATGATTCATTTTCTGCCTTATAATTCTGGACTATTGTCTGCTTTTGTTTCTGTTATAGTGTTATTTTCTATTGTTCATTATGTTTCTATTTTGTTTGCTTGTTCCTAGAATTGTTGCGTTCAACGTTCTGCAGCAGCTGTATTTTTTACTATATTTGTAGTGTTGCTGCCATGAGTAAGGAATCTTGCCTTCTTTACTGTCTAGATGCCTGTTGTTGGCCATTTGCTAAGTGTGGCTGTTTTAAATTTTATGTGACGTAGACCGCTGCCTTAATTACAAGACACCTGCTATTGCTCGTGCCAGCAAACGCACACGGGCCTTGGATGCTATGGTCCAGCCATACTCAATACGGTATAAATTGTATATGTGATGTTGTTGCTGTCAGCTTTGGTGCACTGTGGTGTACAATGGCATTTTACCTGATAATGTTTTGCTTGCAGTGAAACTGGCGAAACAAGTCTTCAGGGTGCACAACAACACGCAGCTAAAAAAAAAACCTAAGCCTAAGCCTAAGCCAAAACCAGAGGCAAAGCAAAGCCTAAACCAAAGTCTAAACCAAACAGTAAGCTCCTTTCATGAAGCGTAATTTGTTATTAGCTTACCTTATAAACTAATTTTTTACGTTGTGCTGCAGTCAACCCGGCTGTTGTTATTGGTAAGCCGCTGCCAGTTGGCCCTCTGCAATTAAAGGTGCTGCCTCCCTGTCTGAAGTGTGGTGCTAAAAAAATTGAACATGAAACATTGCATTTTTGTTGTGGAGATGGGGATATCAGAATTGCTTCAAATGAATACCCTCCTGAATTGGAGCGTTTATTTACATCTGACGATGAAGATGCAGTGCACTTTAGGAAATATGCTCGGCTGTATGATAACTTATTTGCTTTCAGCTCGTTCAGAGGTGACCATAAAGCTAAAACTGAAAAAGGAATTTACGTGTTCAAAATGCATGGTTAGATATATCATTTTCTACCTGATCTGTTACCAAAAGAGGGGGGCCTAAGTTCCTGCAGTTGTATTTCTGTGATGGCCAGTGTGAGGCTGCAAATAGGACTAAGTGTTTTCTAGAAGTTAGGGACGATATTATTGAAATTCTAATGAGAGTCACCAAAGACAATCCATATGCTCGGTTCTTTCGGTCTTTAAAAGAGATCAATGTAAGTGAGGATACGCAAATAGTTATCAATCAACATGCAGTTTTGGACCAACGCATGTTCAATGCACCAACAAGTAATGAAGTGGCTGCTATATGGACAGACAGTACAGGTTCTAGCAAATCGGAAGGTTCATACATCTGTGTGTCTGGTAGATCAGATGACATACATCGAATATATCATTATTATGGATGCTATGATCCATTGCAGTATCCTCTTCTGTTTCCCTATGGTGATTGTGGATGGGCACAGGGGATGTGCAAAAATTACAGAGACAAGCAACAACATGGTTCAGCAGCAGTAGACCCTGTGCATTCATGTTCTGTTAACACAGAAGAAGATTTGCTTGCTGCAGAGGCTCTTCGTGAGTTCCTATATTATTATGACCTAATTTTCTCTTTTGTTATTGCTATTTGGGGAAAAAAATTGATACAACCCTTAGGTCATTGTGCTTACTGTCTTTTGTGTCTTATGTTCAGGTGCTTCGGAAAATAGTGGCACTTCAGAAAGGCATATTTCCCCAAGGCAGTATTATGCATATAAACTTCAAAATCACCCACACAATATGTTGCTTCGTGCAGGACGTTGTTTCCAGCAGTATATTGTAGACATGTACATCAAAATAGAAAATACACGATTAGATTTCTTCAGGCGAAATCAGCAAACCATACGTGCTGATCTTTACCAGGGAATTCTAGATTCTGTAGAAGGAGGTGAAACAAATGCTATAAATGTTGGCCGTAGAGTTATTCTTTCTCCGACTTTTATTGGAGGGCCACGTGATATGAAACGCCCATACTTAAATGCAATGTCATTGGTTCAGCGCTTTGGAAAGCCTGATTTATTTGTTACTATGACATGCAATGCTAAATGGCCTGAGATAACAGCTGAACTTGCTGATAGGGAACTTGCAGAAAATCGTCCTGACCTTATAACGCGTGTTTTTCGATCTAAACTTATCAGCCTTAAACATGAGATCATGAAAAAACATGTGTTTGGTGAATTTGAGGCAATGATATATGTGATTGAATTCCAAAAAAGAGGCCTTCCTCATGCTCACTTCTTAATCATTCTTAAAGGTGAATACAAGGTCAAATCACCTTCAGATTTTGATAAGTTTGTGTGTGCTGAAATCCCTGTTGAATGTGGCAATCTTTGGAAGATAGTCTTGGCCCATATGATGCATGGCCCTTGTGGCCTGCGGAACCCTTCATGTGGGTGCATGAAGAAGCAGGCAGATGGCTCTATTGCTTGTAATTATAATTATCCTAGGGCATTTCTAAGCGAAACAACAAACAATGAAGATGGCTTCCCAATGTATCGAAGGAGAAATACTGGTGAAAGTGTGCGTATTTGGGGAGCTAACTTAGACAACCGGTGGGTCATTCCGTACAATCCTTATCTATCAAAAAATTTTGACTGCCACTTGAATGTTGAGGTTTGTTCAACAATTCATGCAGTTAAGTACTTGTACAAGTATGTGTACAAGGGCCATGATAGGGTGTCTTTTAGTGTGGCTGGCCAGCAGGATGCAGCTTTGGATGAAATTAAAAACTTTCAATCTTGTAGATGGGTTTCTCCATGCGAAGCAACTTGGAGAATTTTTGGACTTGACTTATTTGAAATGCATCCGCCTGTTCAGCTCTTACCTGTGCACTTGCCTAATATGCAAACTGTTGTTGTGAACCCGAATGAACGTTTAGACACTGTGGTTCAAAATGATAAGCGTTCACGCACAGCTCTTACAGAGTTCTTTAGGCTGAATGCAGCTACACCTGGTGGTACAGGTCACCTGTACAGTGAGATGACTGAACACTTTAGGTGGGACAATGGAAAAAAGGCATGGTTTCAAAGACAAAATAAAAGAATAGTTGTTGGACGCTTAGCTTTTGTTGCTCCAGGCGAGGGTGAGAGGTTTTTCTTGCGTCTGCTACTTATTAATATTCGGAGTCCTAAGTCCTTTGAAGATTTGTTAACAGTGAAAGGGCAAGTCTGCTGTACTTTCCAGGAAGTAGCCATTAAAAGAGGCTTAATGGAAGCAGATGGTGCAGTGGTGGCTTGTTTAGAGGAGGCATCAGAAGTGCAAATTCCTGTAGCAATGAGGCAACTCTTTGCTACTATCCAAACAGTTTATGGCTACGCTTTTACAGTTCGCTAACACAGGATTACAGGCATGCAAATCCAGGAGATGAAGACAAAGCAAGGAGGTTAACTGTAAGATCAATTGAATAGTCATTAGAAGGAATGGGTAGATCATTAGCAGATTTTGGCTTAGGGCATTTAATAGAACCAGATGATCCAGAAATCAGGAAAACCAAAGACATTGCTGATGCCTTGGAAGCATCAATACCTGATGAATGCATTTTTTGCAGAGACGCTCTGAATTCAGCTCAGCAGATAGTGTTTGATAGCATTATGGAACATGTAAATGGCAGCATTGCTGGCTGCTTCTTTGTAGATGGTCCTGGTGGGACTGGAAAGACTTTTTTGTATAATGCACTGTACGCTGAGGTTCGGCTAGCTCACAAAATTGTATTGCCTACTACAACTTCAGGGATAGCAGCTTCAAACATACCATCTGGCAGAACAGCGCATTCCAGATTCAAAATTCCTCTTGATTCAGAGATATCTCTTGCATGTGATGTTCCTAGACAGGGTAGCCTGACCGCTTTAATTAGAGCCACTTCTTTGATAATATGGGATGAAGCATCCATGGCACGACAGGAAAATGTGGAATCGCTGGATCTGCTTCTTCGGGATCTCTGTGACCCTGATCAAGTATTTGGAGGAAAGGTGGTTGTATTTGGAGGAGATTTTAGGCAAGTTCTCCCTATTGTTCCTAGGAAATCTCAAATAGAAGTTGTAGCTGCAAGCTTAGTCAACTCATACTTGTGGCCTAAGATGACAAGGTTCCGATTGACAGAGAATATTAGATCTAGACACGATCCTGCATATTCTGAGTTTTTACTAGCACTTGGAAATGGACAGCTGCAGAATACTGAAGTTGACTTTGTGCAGTTGCCACTGCACATTGTACGTTGCTATGACCCGGAAATTGATCCTATACCAGCTGTGGCATCTGCTACTTTTCCGGAAGTTGGCAGCATGGACATGTGTCCAAGCATTTTTACAGAGACAACAATCCTGACGCCTATGAATGAAGATGTAGATTCAATCTATCTTGTTTGATTGACCAATTCCCCGGAGAGCATGCTTCATACAAAAGCTTCGACTCTCTTCTTGATGATAATTATACTCTCTACCCGACTGAATTCCTCAACAAATTATGTCCTGGAGGTATGAGCCCTCATGAACTCATCTTGAAGATAGACTGTCCTGTTATCTTACTGCAAAACATAGCGCCATCTGAAGGTCTGTGTAATGGAACAAGGCTTATATGTAAGCGTTTTTTTCCCAATAATATTCTCTGCGTTATAGCAACAGGACATTACAAAGGGAAATTTTGGTTTCTGCCACGCGTTAATCTCCGCCCTTCATCTTCAGCAAATTATCCCTTCCAATTTGAGAGGAAGCAATTTCCCATTAAGCTTAGTTTTGCCATGACAATAAACAAGTCACAAGGTCAAACATTGAACAAGGTTGTTGTATATCTCCCACAACCTTGCTTCTCACATGGCCAGCTATATGTAGCTCTCTCACGTGCTAAGAAATCCGAAAAAGTCATTGTCTTTAGCCCAAAGGTATCTACTGCTTTGTCTGCTTCACATGTAAAAAATGGTGTTTCTTATGATGTCTTAAGGTTAGCTTCAATCATTTAGGCAGGTGCAACCACAATATTTTTGAGCTTGTCACAGTTCAGTTGCATTAGTTTTTGTACACATAGCCTGTTGCAATTTCAGAATTCAGATACATATAGTTTGTGTTGTTGTTGGATTTAGATACATCCAGTATTTCTTTACTTTATATGCTATTGCCTTCATTTGGTCTTATTTGCTAAGTTTTGTTTGCCATTATTTATTTTAAGTGCTAGGCTGCATGTGCTACATATTTGCTAAACAAAGAACTGTTATTCTTTACTAGACTTTAACAGGAACAACCATTTTAAAACATCTTCTGACTAAAACTTAGCTTAGCATTAGTACAAAAGACAGACATAAGACAGTGATAAATCTCACTTAGCATAAATAGGACAATACACTTAATAAAGCTTAAGTACCTAGACATTGAACACCTAATATAAACCTAGACACATTTTAGGATACATTCAGGAAATTAATAACATTCACTTAGATCACTAGCAGTGCAGTACAGGTCTAGCAGCCAGTTAGATGACATAAAGGCTTTTCTGCTTAAAATGAAACTCCACCTGAAGCATCACTTGTAGGGGTGTATGATGGGCTAGAGCGGTGGTGGATATCGGTGTTGTGAAAAATTTGATGCCCGGTGTACTTGCTTGTTCCTTTTTGTGAGTTTTGCTTAGCATCAACCTCAGCATTTTGCATGCAGCAGTCTCCTTGTTGACTGGCCAGGTTATCTTCTGGTTCACTAAAATAGAGATCAGAAACAAGCTTCTCTAGCCTTTGCATCCTCTCTTCAAGTGAATTAACACGATCCACCACTGCCCCTATGCTTGCTTCTTTAGTCGACCCATGCTGTCCACTGCTGCCCTCCTTGCCTTTGCCCTTGCTTGCCATTGTGAATTGTTTGCTTTTGAAATATGTTGTTTGGAATGGCTAGGATAACTAAAAAAACACTATATATTTATACCAACTTAGTCTCATTTATATATACAAAGATGATGCACTCTATTGTTTTTAGGATAAAGGATGTCTTGCATAAGTCATGTCATCACAACTCATACACCACAGGATTGGGTTAGACCTTAAATAAACTGGAAAAAAGAGCCTACTCATAAGATCATATTACTGAACATTACTTATAGCTAGAATTGCAGACAATCAGTGTGCGGTAGTTTTGAACCACTTGATGCATTGCATAGCATATAAGTGCCTATCTAATTGTACATAGGTGTTGGCTACAGCTATATGCTTCTGTAAAATGTAAGGCCTTTAATCTGAACCCATTATCCAATCATCCTGTGTTGTAGATCTACTGTACACTATGCCATGAGCTCAGCAGATTTTTGTCTATAAAAATAGATATTTTAAGCATCTTTTCTTGTTACATTTAACTTTCTCAATTAGGATTTAAGCAATACTACAAAGATGTTTATTAAATCAGTAGTTAATATATAAAACAGACAACATAGAACATCTCACTTCTGAAAAACATGTAATTAGGAATAACACACTAGATCAAGCTTCCATATAAAGGCTATCAACACAAGTAGCCTAAATTATATTCAGCACAGTGCACTTTTCTTATTATGTCCTCACAGACTATTGTTAGGACTTATTACATCAAACCTAGACTAGGGACTATCCTTACTGGTTCACATTGGCACTAGATCTATATCAAACAGTGCAGGATATCCTTTTCTATACTTAATTAATGCGCCTTGATTTTCCTGGACATTATACTGAGATATGAAATTGGTGACTCTTTTTATCTCGCATTTGGTAATTACGCCACCATTCTTCACACATTTCACTTTAGCATGAAACTATGTATCAAAGCTCTGAAGTAATACATAACTTGAGTCCTCGAGCTCGCTTAACCAGTAATTTGCAAATTCGACAGGCACATTCTGCAGACAACAAGATAATATACAATGTTATTACATACAAATAGTTCGGAGCTTTTTTTTTTAATAAAAAAAACCAAACACTTATTATGAACACATACAATTGTCCCTTTCTTAAGATAAGGTGCTGTAAAAATAAATCTAAAATGCGGCTCACGACAATGATCTGCAAGCTCCTCAAGGCGACCATTTGTTTCAGCCATACTTGCTGCACTGCCATGATAAGCTGGCTTATGTCCTAGCCTCTTGCTCGAGCTGTTATTGCCCTTGTCAAGTCTACTATCTTCTGTTCTCCTGCCACCTGTTGGCCTAAGTATCTGAACATAGAATGCACTCTGGCCTGTATACGTAAATTTGAGACCATCGCCTGGGATTACACCATTATCCCTAACAAAATCACACCAGCCACCTTCTAAAACAGTGATCCAGTTATTTCCATCCTCTTGTTGTACCATGGTAGCTTCCCAAATTCTTGATTTACCATGCACTAGCAAATTAACACCTTGAAATCCTTCATATAATATGCCTTGAAATTCATCAGGAATGCGCTGTAAAGTAAAATGCAGGGCCAAAATATCACCACAATTATAAAGTTAGCAATAAAAAACAAAAGCTAAGCATATAACAATTTAAACATCCACATTAATGGTAACTTCCTGTGTTACAGCATAGCAAAATAGTAGATCAATATGCTCCATTTCATACCACTATCTCTGCATGCTCAGGCTGATAACGAACAATAAACGTAGTTGCATACCCAGCCATTAAACTTGAAAAACAAGCTATTGGGATAATTGTTGTTGCTTGTAATCACAGTTTTATGAGTATTACATGCTTGATAGCAAGCAGTACTATATATAGAAGCAAAAACAGGCCAGATTTTTTTTATCACATTAAATGCATTTAATATAGCCTTGACAAGAAAACACTTGAATAAAATTCTGTTTTCAGACATTGAAACAGAAGCCATATTCAATATTCTTTTTGAAAATTGAATGACAGTCATAATTGCAGGTCAAAAAAAATCATGGAACTCATAATGCTCCACAAATATTTGTATTTTAAAACTATCATGTATGTTTTGATACAGATTTAACATATTTCATATAAACCAGATATCCTCAAAGACATTATATTATCTACAAATTCAACAGCAAGCCATTTCTTGATGCCAAGCATTGTACCTAAGTCAACTGTATTCATGAAAATTGTGCTGCAGTAAATAACATACTATTGTTAAAGTCAACCCAAATTGTTTTCATTAGACTTTCAACCCTTGATTAATTGCACAGCTTTGAAAACTCTTGAAAAAAAATTGTTTTCAACAATCAGGCATGATACAATAGATATCTCTTCCCAATAGTCATAAACAAGCTATTTACTATTCTCCAAAAACATAACATATAAACAAGTAACTGACTTGTTCTAGGCTGCCATGTTTGTCTTAACACAAATGTATCTTTAAAGAGGCCATATATTATGTAGTGTCCTAATCCCAAAACCAATCCTAAATGTGTGGTTCTATAGGCCCAGCTTTACCTTAGTCTAAGTTTTCAGCCTAACACATATGCTTATGGCCACATATGCAGCCCATTCCTTTGATTGCCAATATATCTACATTTCTCAATCCATAATATTAGCCAATTCACTCTCAGTTTTCAAGAGTGACATTATTTTTAAAACAAGACAAAAAAGATAGCATCTTGTAACCAAGTAATCATGGAACAACTAATTATTCAGTGGTTATCAAATAAAACCAGCTATCACCTCCTTCAAGGCTATTACACAGAAGACAACAACTCTACCCAATTTTAACATGATGCTATAAATAGACATTGAAAAGAATCACCTTTTTTCTAATATAAGGTTCTTTACTATGATAGCCTGCATTTTTAAAATCGAAAAAACTAAGCTCTGCAACTTGCAAAACAAAAGCAATGCAACCAGACCTATTTAAATGCTGGTTAATAGATTGCTGCCATCACTGACATTTTGTGCACATAGGTTATTAGATAGAAACTTCTTTTCAACCAGCTCCAAATCTCTAAGAAATACCTGCGTTGGTAAACTTCAATGCTATACAAATCAATAAAGCAGTTCAGCTTTCTAGGGAACTAAAGCATAGTAGCAGCCTTTAATTTGTTGGTTAATAAACTACTCTCATCATTGCTTTATTTTGCACACAAGCTGTAAAGCAACGACTAAGTATTTTGATGTATATTTCAAATGCTATAAGTGAATGCTACTAACAGCTACCCTCTTTCCTGTTACAAAATTCTATACACAAGTTGCTCCAGCTTCCTCTTCTCAGCCAATTGCATATCAAAGTAAGTTCATTAATGCCTTCTGCTATTTATTTCTATCTTATACAATTAATAAAAATAATATTATGCATGATATGACTATATTATTCTTTCTTATATTGAAATCTCATGTACATGGCATTTAATATCAGTCATTTCTGCCTATATCATATAGCAACCTAGATCTATCATATCTGTTTACTTATTTTTGTTGATTTTTTGCTTGCAATTCTTACACCTAATGCTTCACAAAACTATTTCCTTAGATCTACTTCATCTGGCATACTTAGATTGTCCACCACTTTTTTGTACAACATTTAATTTTTATGACACTGCATTAGAGTGTTGCTTCCAGCTACAATATACTTATAGCATGCACAAATTACACTTGCCTTACTTAAGTGCCTGTATAAAACCTGAGTCTAAATTAAGTTATTGTAACTTTGTAAGTAGGTGAGATAATCAAACCTTGTTGTGTGCCTGCATATATGCTTAGTAAGCAAACACATGAAAGCTACTTAATACTTTGATTAATACTTAAGCTAGCAAAAAAAAATATGGAAGGCTGCCTAAAGAATGATATGTGCATGCAAATAAGCTTAGTTGTACAAAACACTCACATGTATATATTATTAGATGAAGCCTGAATATGTGCCAGTCAGCAAGCTCACTCCTAAAAGCAAATCCTACAAAATCAAGGTAGCTGTTAAGGAAAAGTCTCCTGTAAAAATTCCTGCTAATAAAAGAAGATTCCAGAAGCTTGTGTTTGCAGACGATGAGGTACCATCTTATGGTGTAGTTATCTTATTCT